AAATATCAAAAGTTGTAAAATACAAACTTAGGAATTCATCTTAAACTGTGATGAAGTAGAAAATGAGAAAAAAATCAATAATGAAAGGTAAGTTGTTGCTGCAAACTAATATAGAAAACTAACTGTAGTAAATGAATAAATCAAGTAAATCACTACTTCACAAATAACATGAATTAAATGAACACATGAAAAAATCACAACTGAAAAACGTCTGCACTCGATCACTGCTTAATGAAAAGTGATAGTTCTGTAGAATAGGATAGAAGTAGTCACATGTGTCAGCAGGGTGTGTCAAACTCCTATTGGTGGAGAGTTGTTGCGTGATGATTTTCATGCTAGATGTAGTTGAACCAGTTTGATTGTGGAGAAAATGAGAGTTTAAAGCTTGTGGCATGTGAAAAAATGTTTCATATAGAGGGCAGCACTGAACAAGAACATGTGAAAGGAGGTAATGTACTGTATTGGAAAACATTATTAGCGTGCACACAAAAGACAGAGAATGGTGAAGGAGAAAAGTATCAGATGGAAGGTCATGAAGTAAAGGCATTGGGATTGATGGGTGAAAGAGTAAAAATGTCACCTACCTGAGTAATGACTGAAGCAAATAGAGAAAAGAGGAAGCATATATTCCTCACCAGGAAAGGAAGAATCAGAAGCAAAGGCTGGAGGTAGAAAAGGGTGGTCAAAATCATTCATAGGCAAACCAGGCTCCACTGAAGGTAAGGAAACAGAACAACAATGGACCAAAACTGAAGAAGCAGGAGGCAAAAAAAAACCAACCACCTGTTGCACAATAGCTGTAACATCATGAACAGATAATGTGCTCCAGTTGCCACTGTGACAGATGTAGAGGAGAATCAGAGTATCTGGACATAGAAGTAATTTAGATGTGCACATTTGTAGTAAAGAGTTGACACCACCAACAAAAATTGATTACTTTTTTTTTGATTGTTATTTTTTGGCATGGAAAACAAATGTGTAAACAGGTGGAAGGAATATCAAAAGAAATGAGGAAAAAATCAATCATTATATCAGAAAACTTGAAATGTACAGGTAAAAAAAAGAAAAACGTTTTGAGCACAGGCATTGC